TCAATTATAGAAAAACAGAAACTGTAAACAGCATAAACGTTCAGCAAAAAAAAAATAAGATCGCCAAAAATGCCAACAACACAGTTCACTCCTAATAGCAGTTATTGCTCTTAGATGAATATTTTTGACCATCTTTAGCGTTTTGTCTACTATCTTGAAACCAATTATATAAAGTCAGAAACTGTAAACAGTATAAATGATCAGCAAAAATAATATAAGATCCACAAAATGCCAAAAATACTGAAATAATCAGTTAAACTCCTTATAGGAATTATTGTCCATGAATAAATATTTTTTACCAATTTTAGTGTTTTGTCTATTATCTTGGAATCAATTATAGACAGACAGACACTATGAACAGCATAAATGATCAGCAAAAATAATATAAGATCAACAAAAAATGCCAACACTGAAATAAGCAATTCACTCCTTATAGGAGTTATTGCACTTAAATAATGATTTTTTATCAATATAAACATTTTTGTCTATTAACTTGAAATTATAATAGATAGAAAGAACTGTTAAATAGTCGATCTCTGGGATTTTTATGAATTTATGTATGCAACTAGAGACCTAGAGCATGACGAACTGCATACAAATATCGAAAAAAAAAATGATACATATTAATTTGATACATATTAATTTGATACTTTCCGAGAAAATATCCGGGAAATAGCAATACAAATGTATAGAATATACATTAATATTGCAAAAAAGATCACCAATTTAGACTTTGAATTATTCTTTCTCAAATTCCAATCGTTCAACAATTTCATGTGCATGTTACGATCTCCATGCAGGATCAGGAAACGAGTCATTTCATGGCTTAATTTCATTTGATCAAAATGAACTCCAAAGTCAGGAGTCTGTAGTTCAGTGGTTGTCGTTGGTTCATGTCTGTCATATTTGTTTTTCGTAAATTTTTTTGTTATAAATAAGGACGTTAGTTTTCTCGTTCGAATTGTTTCCCATTTTTCATGTCGGGGTCTTTTGTAGCCGTTTAACGGTATTGGTTTTTGTCATTGTTGAAGGCCGTACGGTGGCCTATAATTGCTTACATCCACTTCATTTGTACTCTGGTGGATAGCTGTCTCATTGGCGATCGCATCTCCTACTTTCTACTTTTTACATAAAATGTCAAATGTTTCCTATCCCGTAAAATGAAAAAAAGTTATTGTTACTTACTTGTTACTGATGTACTTGTGCACAATCAAATCTGTGGTATAAATTTGAAAATTCACAACAGAAATGTCAAACAGATTTAAACCTTTACGTACACGTTAAACTATCTTAATTACCTATTTGTTTATATATCTAAAACTATTCTATTATTCTAACTATTACATTTCAAAAGATGCTATTATATAAATTTTCTTATCAGAATAAATCTTTTTTTAAACGGCATATTGAATTTAAAAAGGTATAATAAAGTCGACTACGTAGCAGTGCACAAAGAGATAATTAACATTACTTGTTTATTTAAATAATGCAATAATTTTTTATGTGATTTTAATATAAATTCAGAGGGGAAATCAAAGTTTACATGCAGTTTATATCAGATCTACATTCACATCCCTGTAAAGCACGTGTTTAGATGCTACGTAAGTTGAATCAAACACTCCAGGAAAGCACTCATAAAGTTCACTTTTTTCAATGTCATCATTTGAAAAAAAAAACCCAATTTATATGTGGTCAACACAGTCAATGAGGATAAAGTGCTGCCAATTACCGCACATGCCCGAGGGATCGATTTACTTAGCTTGACCACTTACCATTCATTAATCCACACACCAGCGTATATTTTACTTGTGCAAAATCAGTTTCTCAGTTAGAATCAGCAATTCAGTAAACTTCTTTTTTGAGTTAACAAGTGTGGACACAGATCAGTTTGGATAGTTATAGCTTGGTTTGAGTCATGGTACCGTTTGTGACTTTCATACTGAATTTTGCATGATATGCATGATACGAATAGTAATTTTATGGAGGTATTACTATATTTGTTCACTTTTTTAGCAGAACTGGCAGGTATATATATATAATATATTAGGTGGCCGTTTTTTTTATATATATATTTAAGTATCTTTAGCTATGTTGAAAGACTTGCATAATGACAAATTATAAAAATACGAGTACTAGTAGTTTAGTCTCTAACATAACCTATATGATATTCCCTGCTTTTATTTTTGCAAAATGGATGCAATTTGGGTACTCGGTGCAATTTGCGCACTTTGACGTTAACTTCTTCCTGTCCACCCACATTGTTATTACAATTTTACAATTAACGTAGTCTATATATGATGCCCTTCTAATATTTTCCACAGATGGGCATCATATGTAAACTTTTGTTATTTTGATATCCTATGGATAAGAGCAAGAACACATTAGTTTTTGAAATTAAATTAAAATATTAAAGAATATTAACCATAATACTTTGAAACACCAAAAAGAAATATATAATTTTAATAACCGTGGTGCATTACCCAAAGTGCCTGTGATATCACAAATCATGTAAACTGTATCTCTGTATATGTATCGTTACGTCGAATGTACCAATTCTGACTTTAACTCGACGGGAGAGAGAGAGAGCACCTATTCACGGTGTTGGAGAGCTGTTTTGAAGCTCTCAACTGACTTGGCGCACACTTTATTTTCTTCCAGTTGGTTTCAATGGATCACAGTCTTAACGAAGAATGAGTTCTTAAATTGCTCGGTTTTGCAATTTGTTGTATCAATTGCCTTTGAGTTGTTCTTGACCTAGTTGTTTACTATGTTAGTGCTTTCAAAGTCTTCGAAGCGTTCCGGTTTAATATTCTTTTTGGTTTTGCTCTTTACCAAAAATTCTTCAGGTTTAATAGCTGGGACCAAACCCTCAACCACTTTGTGAAGAAATCCAGTTTTTGTGTCCGATCCTTCTTCTTTATATTTGTAATCTCCTGTGATGAAACGCGCTGCTCTACGCTGGTTCCTTTCTACTTAGTTGATGTTGTTTGTTGTATATGGATCCCATACTATTGCCCCATATTCCATTGTAGATCTTACCAATGAGATGTATGCTGTTTTCTTGCAGTCTTTTGTGCAGAATCGTAGGTTGCGTCTTAGAAAGCCGAGTGTTGAATTTGCTTTCTTGGCTTCATTTGAGATGTGGGTGGTCCATTTTAAGTCTTCTGATATATTTGTAGCTCCAGGTATGGATTGTGTTGGACTTGTTGGAGTATGTGTCCATCAAGGATGTAGAATTTCTGGCTTTTGTTCTTAATGCTCAGGATTTAACATTTCTTTGCGTTAAAGCGCATACCCCAGTCTTTGGCCCATTTTTCTAGGCTAACCAGATCTTGATGTAGTAGTGTGTGGTCACGTTGTGTTGTTATGTTTCTGTATAGCAGACAATCGTCAGCAAAAAGTCCAACGATCGATTTTACTTCATCTGGCATGTCGTTGATATGACAGAGGAAGAGAAGGGATCCAAGTACGGTTCCTTGTGGAACTGAGTCGACTGTAGCTTCTTCAGATTCCTCTCCATCAATGACAACTTTCATCTTTCTCTGAGTGAGAACCATTTCCAGCCATTTATTCATCTAGTTTGTGTAACAATTTGTTGTGTGGCACGGTGTCAAGTGCTTTCGAAAAGTCCAGGATAGCAACACCAACTTGGTTACCAGCATCATGTGATTTCATGAAGTCATGCAGTGTGACTAATAGCTGTGTTTCACGTGAGTACTCGGATCTAAATCCATAGTTAAGTGATGTTAGTACCCTTTGCTTGTCTAGGTGGTTTAGCATGTGCTTACAGATGATGTGTTCTAGTATTTTACACGGCACAGATGCTAGTGATATCGGTCTGTAATTTTCTGGTGCGTGTTTGTCTCCTTTTTTGAATACGCTCGAGCTGTTAGCGTTTAACCAGTCTCTGGGCAGTGATCCAGTATTTATTGACTTTTGGTATATCATTGCAAGTCCTGGTGCTAGTTGTTTGGAGCACTCCCTGAGGATTCTGTTTGGTATGCCGTCTGGTTTCTGATGCTTTTGATGGATTTAGTTTTCTAAGCAGTTTTTCGACACTGTTATGTTTTATTTCAAAGGATGGGATTGAGTTCTTTATGTATTTTGATGTTTTAGGCAGTTTTTTGTTGTTGTCTCTGGTGAATACTGATTTAAATGTTGTATCAGTAGTTCTGTCTTCCCTTTACTGTCATTCACTAAATGGCCATTGCTGTTCAATGGTGATACTCCTATGTTGTCTTGTTTTCTAGATTTGATGTATTTCCAAAAAGGTTTTGGGTTGTTGTTTTCCAGTCCTTCCATTATGGTGTTGTTGATATATCCCTTTTCAGCCTTTCGGACTTGTCGTTTGCATTCTTTCTGAAAATGTTTGTAGTTTGGCCAGTTCTTTGTTCTCTTTGCTTGTTGGTATAGCCTAGTTTTCTTTATGAATATTTTCCTAATTTTGTGGTTTATGCATGGTAGACTTGTTATAGAGCGGATGAGTTTTGATGGTATGTTCTTTTCTAAATTCGAGTAAAGTTCGTTTTTGAATGTGTCCCATAATTATTGTACTGTAGCATCATTTTGATACATATCAGTGATTTTGGTTGATAGTATATTCAGTTATTTATGGAGATCTTCCAATTTTGCTTTTGAGTATATGTAGCATTTACGTGGCCGTTTACTCTGGTAGTGTGTTTTTGTATCACAGTCTGTTATGATCATGTCGTGGTCAGATATTCCTGGAGCGTTTGTTGATGTCAAAGTTTAATAAGTGATGGGTTGGTGGTTAACAACACTAAATGTCAAGGAGGTTTTCACCTCTAGTTGGTGTTTCATGTATCTTAGAAATGGAGTGTGATATTAGGACTTCCATGCTTTTTGTATTTCCCTGTCTTGTGCGTTATGGTTTATTGACACGGTGTTCCAATCAATACTCAACTTTCTACTCATTTTCTTTCTAACAAAACTAGACTGTAACAAAAGGTGACGAGATCGAAATAGCAAGAATTATTTTTTATTTCTCAGTGTACCGGATATGAATATGAATTGTGGGCAACGCGGACTTTTCAAAACAAAAATATGAGAGTAAACTAGTTCAACAAAAAAAGAAAGAAATGTCAACACAACAATATACCCAAACAAAAAAGGAACTCATGATGCATCTAGAAGCAGAACGCCTTAAATCATTTGAAAATTGGCCTTTCGATGAGTCATGTAGATGCACACCTGCAAAGGTTTTTCGATTTTTTATTTTGTTTTTTTAATTATTTATGGATAGAAATGATTTTTAGTGACTGTGGATATTTATATTTTTCTGTCGCATGCATTACATGTTATAAACATGTTTCAGGTTCATATTAAACATATTTGATTAAAATGAAAATGGCTGTGTTTACACTGGAAACTGATCAATCTCAGGCCTCTACAATAACTTTATTTTCAACTTGTCCAGTAGGACAAGTACATACCAAAATTTACTTGTCCGAATGAAATTGTAACTTGTCAAAAAAAAATCTTTATAATAACCTTTTTTGCATTTTAAGTTGATTCAAGGGACAAAATGAATTAAAACAATAGAACAGAATTTGATTTATATCTTTTGAAATACTTTTCAAAAATATGAGTCGAGAACAACTGAATCTAGTCATTTCACAGGACTTAGGTTCTAGTTTTCATCAATGCCAAAGTAGACTCAGCACATGAGGCACCGTCTGATAGGCTTGTCAATGTACACTCATTTGTATCCTGGTTCTTTAAGTTTAAAAAAGTTTATTCAAATGCAATCAATAAAAAAAAAGATGAGGTATGATTGCCAATGAGACAACTCTCTGCAAGAGACCAAATGACACAGAAATTGACAACTATAGGTCACCGTATTGCAAGTATCGTTTTTTTCTACATATGATCAAATATAATTTCGTGAATTTTATGGTTAATAATTTCTTCATTTTCATTTAAAAAATATTTTTGTTAAAAAAATTACCGTAAGGTATTCATTATAAAGCAATAGACATGATAGAACAAGGTAGGAAAACGAGGTACTGATTTCAGTGATTTGTCTTGGTCCTGAAATGTCTCCTGGGTTGCCAAACTGTCTATTAATCATGTCTCCTAAATATGTCTCCTACGGTGCCAAACTGTCTATAAAACTTGAAGGTGAATGTTTCGTTTTTAAGGTGGTAACAACTGTCGCAAGTAAACATGTCAAATTAATACTTGTTTTTATCTTCTTTTCTTGTTTTTTTGTTTATAATTACTTTTTCATCAAAGTTCGATTAAATTTATTTTCTGCAGAATAATTTTACTTGTCCTGTCGAACAAGCTTGATATAGTTTTTACTTGTCCGACATTTTTTTCCTCTGGTACCGTACAATCGGACAAGCGTTATTGTCGAGCCCTGGATCTGTTGAGATTTCATTGCCTTGATTGCGGATTATTGATTTTTTGTTTTGATTGACAGCTTATCGTGTCACGTAGTAAATTAGCATTCGGTACATGAATGTAAACAATAGATTTCGGCAAACAAGTCAGCATACATATAATACTGTTAAAATTGGTGGATTTGAAATGAAAAAATAATTATTAAATTCATTAGTTTAAATGCAAAAAATATATATTGTTTACGAAAAATTATTAATAAGTAGTCAATATATTCATGATATTAGTGTTGAAAATAAACCAGATATAGTCGAAATGCCGTCGCTTTACTTGACCGCTAAGAAAACAAGGTGTCAAAGGTTAACAGATCATAATTAATCCTGATAAAAACAATAAGTGTGCAATAAAAACAATGTTTACTATTTCAGTTCATAATTAATTCATATAACAAATAAAGGCAAAAGTTACCCAGGTCTCATAAAGATATAGCCACATTGTTTTGAACTTTTGTGAACTTCGTGTTTACACCAAAATTTCAATATGGCTGTGAACGGCCTACTTTTGTAGTTCTAATTATGGAACCTAGTGTACATATTTTCACAAAGTCATATGCTAATGCCACCAGAAGACCATTACTAAGCAAAATTAACCCTGATTATAATAAAAATATTGTACACATAAAAAGGAGTAGGTAATTTTATAGGAACAGTATAATTTATTTGAGCCATGCATGTGGGTTCCGGTAGTAACGAGAAAGAGATTTATATTCCACTTTTTATTTTAAAAAGTGACAATAAAAATAGGAAAATCCAAACTACATTGTATAACATATACATATGATTTTACAACAAACCAAACTTGCGTATCTCTTTTCAATCAACAGTTATAAGAAATTTTATGAATCATATACTTTTTTCCACATCATCCCCACGCTATTTTCATCCTGAAAATTTCAATCTTTAAGTGTCATTTTTGTCGAGCCTGCGACTTTTGTCGCAGAAAGCTCGACATAGGGATAGCGATCCGGCGGCGGCGGCGGCGGCGGCGTTAGCTAACTTCTTAAAAGCTTTATATTTTAGAAGGTGGAAGACCTGGATGCTTCATACTTTGTATATGGATGCCTCATGTTACGAAGTTTCCGTCAGTCACATGTCCAATTTCCTTGACCTCATTTTCATGGTTCAGTGACTACTTGAAAAAAAAGTTCAGATTATTTGTAATGTTAAATTCTCTCTTATTATAAGTAATAGGATAACTATATTTAGTATGTGCATACCTTGCAAGGTCCTCATGCCTGTCAGACAGTTTTCACTTGACCTCGACCTCATTTCATGGATCAGTGAACAAGGTTAAGTTTTGGTGGTCAAGTCCATATCTCAGATACTATAAGCAATAGGTCTAGTATATTTGGTGTATGGAAGGACTGTAAGGTGTACATGTCCAACTGGCAGGTGTCATCTGACCTTGACCTCATTTTCATGGTTCAGTGGTTATAGTTAAGTTTTTGTGTTTTGGTCTGTTTTTCTTATACTGTATGCAATAGGTCTATTATATTTGGTGTATGGAATGATTGTAAGGTGTACATGTCCAACTGGCAGGTGTCATCTGACCTTGACCTCATTTTCATGGTTCAGTGGTTATAGTTAAGTTTTTGTGTTTTGGTCTGTTTTTCTTATACTGTATGCAATAGGTCTATTATATTTGGTGTATGGAATGATTGTATGGTGTACATGTCCAACTGGCAGGTGTCATCTGACCTTAACCTCATTTTCATGGTTCAGTGGTTATAGTTAAGTTTTTGTGTTTTGGTCCGTTTTTCTTATACTTTATCCAATAGGTCTATTATATTTGGTGTATGGAATGATTGTAAGGTGTACATGTCCAACTGGCAGGTGTCATCTGACCTTGACCTCATTTTCATGGTTCAGTGGTTATAGTTAAGTTTTTGTGTTTTGGTCCGTTTTTCTTATACTTTATCCAATAGGTCTACTATATTTGGTGTATGGAATGATTGTAAGGTGTACATGTCCAACTGGCAGGTGTCATCTGACTTTGACCTCATTTTCATGGTTCAGTGGTCAAAGTTAAGTTTTTGAGTTTTGGTCTTTTTTCTATTATGCAATAAGTCAACTATATTTGGTGTATGGAAATATTCTATGATGTACATGTCAGTCTCGCAGGTTTTATTTGACCTTGACCTCATTTTCACAGTTCATTGCTCAGTGTTAAGTTTAAGTGTTTCAGTCTGTTTTTCTTAAACTATAAGCAATAGGTCAGCTATATTTGTTGTATGGAAGGATTGTAAGCTTTTCATGTCTGCCTGGCATGGTTCATCTGACTTTGACCTCATTTTCACGATTCATTGGTCAATGTTTAGTTTTCTTGGTTAAGTCTGTTTCTTAGAAACTATAAGCAATAGGTCAACTATATTTAGTGTATTGAATGATTGTAAGGTGTACATGTATTTCTTGTTTGGTTTATATGACCTTGACTTCATTTTCTTGGATCATGTTAAGTTTATGTAATAGTTGTAGTAAAGCTTTCATTTAGGACTATCAACATAATATCAATGGTTAGTAAAGAAGGCGAGACATTTCAGCGTGTCCACTCTTGTTTACTCTTAAGATGGGATTGTCAAAGATCGAGATATCTTTTATCATTATAGTAATCATGTTTAGATTAAGGATTATCATTTCGAATAACTATAAAATAAAAAAACAAATTACGGAAATTATAAGATCAAGGCACGCTGTCACTGTCAAAACAATATGGCGGGTAAAGTCTCGTTCTAACGACCGTGATGTTGATATTATTACACTGATTGGTGTAACCGTTTCCAGTCCCGTTAGTATAATAGTCCCAGGTTTACGCTAAAAAAATAGAGCTTATATGATATCCCTATTTAGGAATCTACGACACTTAACCCAAGAATTTGCAAAACTTGTTATACTTGAACTATTGACTAAAAGCACTTCTTGTGAGATCAAAATTTTACAGAATTTTCTGTGATGTTCATTAATGGCGGACAAATGGCAATAGTCAATATGGTGTATCTTTTCTGAGTATAGACAAAGCAGCCAAGTAAGTCAAGTGATGGACATGAGCTGTGCAGGTGGGGATTATTTCCCTGGTATGGCCACAGAAGCCGGATTGGTTCAGGCCAGATCATGTCATCATTCTCATTCGCATCAAACCACTGACCAGTCACGTCTCGGTCATTACAGCTGAACAGATATGCTTGATCAGCTCCTGATTATCCGCAAGCTACAACATCTGATTGTATAATTCAATGACATACTGATAGTCCAAGTTTGCAGTTCAATGTGGTACAGTTACCAAAAACTGGTATGTGTCAGCATACACTCCGATCCCATTGTGGATTGGGAGTGTTTTCACTTCTGAGGGCCCTGTATTCGCGGTGTTGAGTAATGGACTGCCATTTTCACCGTCTCACGACAGTGGTCATGAACTGGCTTCCTGCAGACATTTACTATTATGTCTATGACTCATATACCAGTACACTGGACGTTAAGCAACCAACAATCAATATTTTTTTTCTTAATTTTTCCCTTAGTTTCATACTCCTAAACTTTCTAAACATTTTTTGTGTTATCTTATAAAATTACTCTATTTCTTGTGTTGAGTATTGTTCTATATGATTATACAACAGTTACATTGTACATTCTAATATAAAAATGAAATTCAGTTCTAAAACCAGTGTTTAACAAACTGCGAAATAAGTATAAAGTCAGAAAAATTCTAGCTAAAAATGGGACAAACAGTCAACACAAAAAAAAAAAAACCCACAAACTTCACACATCTGAAAAGTTCAACTTGAAAAATTCTAACATTGTTTATTTTGTGAAAGTGATGGCTAAAATAAAAAAATTCCCTGGTGAAACCCTGATTAAAAGCAGTTCATGTATTGAGAACATTTTATCTTCAACATATTACAGCTTTTTCACGTTGATTGAAAGCTATATTAAAAAAATATACACATTTAAATTGTATTAAATTGCATTCAGTGATTTTTTTTCTATTTCAGTTAGCTAAAGCTGGGTTTTATAGTTGTGCAACAGAAAATGAACCAGATGCTGTACAATGTTTTATGTGTTTTAAAGAATTAGATGGATGGGAACCAGATGATGATCCATGGTGAATATGATTGCATACATGAATTAAAATATAATATCCCTTAAACATATACACAAAACACACATAGCTATCTGTCACCTGGAAAATAACGCACAATAAGCATGATAAGATTTTAACTACTGTACTTTACAGTTGTAAAATTTTTCGGTAATCTTTTTCCAAGAATATTTCACTGTAAAGATAAAAAAAGTCTGCAAATATTTCACATGCATCAAATACAATTGTAATAAATCTGTTCTTAATTGCAATTTGAAATAGTTAGGGTCATTTTTAAAAAATGTTTAATTACATGTACACGTGGCAGGAATATTCGACTCCAAATCTTAATTGACTAAGATTGTCAGTTTTTCAGCCGAAGGTCTCGGTTCTATCTGGAAACTTCGACTTTCTCCAATTAAAAAAAAACTGACTGTCATGAAATAGTCAAAAGTGCTGAAAGTGGCTTGAAACACCAATCAATCAATCAATCAATCCTGTCAACATACACATGTTCTGCCTTCAAGTTACACATTTTCTTAAAGGTGTGCTTTTCAAAATCATTGACATTCATATACATATGTATGATTTGCAAACATGAAGATAAACATGTGTAGTACTATTTGTTAAAAAATAAGATATTCTGTATGTATTTTCAGGCAAGAACATAAGAATCATTCACCATCCTGTCCTTTCCTACAACTGACACAACCTTTAGAGAGTATGACATGTGAACAAGTATTAAAGCTAGAGATGACTAGAAATAAAAATAAATCAGTAAGTACAGTTTGGCAGATCTGAGAATACGGTAAACACAGAAATTTTTTATGCATGGGTTAATTTTGCTTACTGTAAATTTAGAAATTATTGTATGTTTTTGTTATTGCAATTTCGAATGATAGACCAAAATGTGAGAATAATTTTTGGGATTTCAGGAAATGCTGCCTACAAATATATGTTTTAAAACTTAGAATGCTAGATCTTATTATTGCGATACTCACCCAGTCGTAATATTGGCAATAATTTATAAATTTGCAATATGTCGCAAGCATGTAAAATGTGTGAAAAATACCCAAATTGTGGAAAGCAATAATATTTATTTGAAGAGTGAATTAATGGTTGAGGTGCAAAATTCAACACCTGCCCCAAATAATGTGTTGAATTTACCAAAAATATTGACGTTCACGGAAGTGGTTGGTAACAAGTGCATACATGTGATGGACTGTGAAACTCAGATCAGGAAATTGGGAAATTTTGGTCAGGAGATTAGGACTCAGATCAGGAGGTTTTTTATCGACATAAATGTTATCGTAAATGTAACCGTATGATGTAGAAATTGTCTTTTAAAGTGTTTTTTCTTCAACTTTCCATCCGAATGTAATGTGTTTATAGTACCTTAGTAGCCTTTCTATTCGAATGCTATCACATTGCAGAAGGAAATATTGAGAAGATTCTGTTCCTTGCTTTGTTTTTGATAATTGATTAATGCATGGTTTTTTTTCTAGAAAATTTAAGACTCAAACAGTGTAAAGTATTTTACTATTTTTAGCTAGATCACTGTCTATAGATCTATATACCATTGACATATATTATTTAATAACTGAATCACTGGTCTTTAACACTTGGTCATGTAGGACTAAAAAGTACAACTGTACAAGCTGACTTGGCTGCTTTCAATAAACGTGACTCTGCACTAAATATATAAAGTGATCCTGATCCTGGTAACAGTTTGTTGATTTTTATACTCAGGATGCTGTGAATTGTCTTTTAGTCAATGTTTACTGCTGTCAGTTTGGATCTTGTTGAGCATGATGAAAATCCTTTAATGTACGCATTGGAGTGCGAAATAGGCATTTTTTGGTTTTTTTAATGAGTTGAAAGTTAATTAAATGTTTTTTTCAGCTTCAAAACCTTCCAATATTGGCAATAATGTTTTGACAACAACATTCCACTTTTCTATCAGCTGATCATTGCCGGTATTTCTCTTTAATCATCCTTTGCGTGTGCCATAGACAGAAGCCATATTAATATTCTATCACCTGAGCTGACACCTGTTTATTATGCAATCAAACTATTATCACTTGTTACATGTAATTAACAGTTGGCAAGGTCAAAATCTACACGTGTTGTGTACAGGTAATGTCAGTTACACTGGATATGTTCGTTACTCTCGGGTTTTTTCATCTTCAATAACAAACATTTGTAAATATCGTAGTAAAAAAAAATGGCGCCTGAAAATTTTCATTCATGAAATATTTTTTTACACAGGATTTTTTTCTCCAACAGGAGGACGGGAGGAGACCCCTGAAAACGGGATTATTGTTCTCCCGTCGGGGGTGGGGGGGGTTCACATGTATGCAAGTGAAGCTGTGTCAAACATGTAGATATAATTAATTTTCAGGCAATGGTTTCATCATATGAACCATCTAAAAAAGTTAAACATCACATTACCTTGAAAAAAAATGTTAATTAATGAAAAATATAAATGAGTCCAGGCTCATCACACAAGGCAAAAAGGAGCTAGTTTATTTCCCTACGGTTCTAGATATTGCTATACAAAAGCATTTTAGAGTAGTTTGCATTAACATAGATTTTCAGTAAAGTTTAAATTGATTATTTCCAAACTTCATTAATAAAAGTAATCTTACATACACATACATGTATATGACCACATGCTCAAATTTGCTTGTTTTTCTCTCTTGTTTACAACTTCTTGTCATTTTGAAAATGTAGGTAAGTCCTGGTTAATATCAACATTCTGATAATTTATAAAAAGAAAACATTTATCATGACTTCATCACAGAATGCACAGAATCATGAAACGACTGTCCAGACTGAAACATTGAATAGAAGTGTCATTGGTTTTGGTGACATTCTGATAATTTATAAATAGAAAACATTTATTTTATCTGACATGACAACACATTGGATAGGGGTCTCATTGGTCATGTTGGTTTTTGGTTAATTTTACTTGAGCAAATCTAAACAGACTTATGCTTGAAAGAGCTATGAGAATAAAGAAAATTCAATGTTTTATTTTTTTAACTCCTTTATCAACTTATTCTGACCATAAAGTAAGGAAATACATTGTAAAACCTTAACATTTGTAGTGAAAAAGACTCATAATAATCCAGAAATGTGTGGCTAGCAAATGTATTGAATTAAAAACATTATTACAAACCCTCACTTTTCCATGAGGCATTCACTTCTAACTGTTTGGTTATAAGGGAGAGATCACTTCTTCCTAAATTTCTGAAGTGTTGTGAGCCCTGTGGATAATATGCCTTGTTTATAACTAAGAAAATTAGTTCCAGGGTTCTCCTAAAGTTGTGTACACACATCTTGGACACATGATTTTCAATCACGACCACCGTTTCATGAACCTGTGCATCCTGATTACTATAGCTGAGACCTGTTATCATCAAAAATATTCTTCTGCTGCCAAACTCTATTCTAAGAGGTGCTTCTTGTCAATATTTTTTTATCTGAAATTGACTTCATTTTTCATGAGTATCTTTGTGCAGTAGTATTAATGCATACACACATTCTAGACACATGATTTTCAGTCTGAACTTTGGTTTCATGAACCTGTACAACCTGATAACTCTAGCAGATTTCTGTCATCACAAAAAATCTGCTGTCAAAAAGTATCCTAAAAATGTGCTTCCTGTCAATATCTTTCACCAGTTTTACCCTTGTCCGTCCCGAAATTGGTTTCTGATCTCTAACTTCAATTAGCCTCAACCAAATGTTATGAAACTTATACTCAAATCTTATTACCATAAAACACAGATCAAGTTCGAATTTAGGTGACGTCACTTTTACAGTTCTATAGTTATGTCCCTTTATAATGTTATATGCAAGCTGTGGCATCATCTGTGTCCCATGGATACATTCTCCATTTATCTTATTATACATCAGTATCTTTGTACAGTAATATTAATTTCTTATCTCTTTTTTTCAGAAAAAGATCCTTGATAAAACTCTAAATGAATTTATGGACACAGTATCAGGTGTCCGAGATGAGATGAAGAAGTTAGCGGGCTAACATTCATTACAATGACTGATGTACAAGCAGTGAAAATGTAGAAAATATTCTTTAAAAGTGAAAGCATGTATAGTGAATGAAAGAGAGAGACTTTGCAATAAAGATTTATGTTAAATGTATGGGTATATATTTATAAATGCTTTTTTACATTAAAAATTGTGATGTTTTATTTTCTTATTCAAAATCCATTTTTTTATACCCCACGGAACAAAGTTCTGTAGGGTATAATGTTTTTGACCAGTCCGTCAGTCCTGTTCTTGTCATTACACCTCCTCAGAAACCACGAAACAGAATTTCATGAAACTTTGAAGATAATAAGGACATACTATGTAGATGTGCATATCGACAGGAAATTAGGATTCAATTATTTTTAGCTCACCTGGCCTGAAGGGCCAAGTGAGCTTTTCTCATCACTTGGGGTTCGTCGTCGTCCGTCGTCGTTAGCTTTTTACAAAAATCTTCTCCTCTGAAACCACTGGGCTAAATTTAACCAAGCTTGGCCACAATCATCATTAGGGTATCTAGTTTAGAAATGTGTCTGATGACCCCGCCAACCAACCAAGATGGCCACCATGGCTAAAAATAGAACATAGGGGTAAAATGTAGATTTTGGCTTATATCTCTGAAACCAAAGCATTTAGAGTAAATCTGACAGGGTAAAACTGATTATCAGGTCAAGATCTATCTGCCTTGAAATTTTCAGACAAATCTGACAACCTGTTGTTGGGTTGCTGCCCCTGAATTGGTAATTTTAAGGAAATTTTGCAGTTTTTTGTTATTATCTTGAATATTATTATAGATAGAGATAAACTGTAAACAGCAATAATGTTCAGCAAAGTAAGATCTACAAATAAGTTGTCATGACCAAAATTGTCAGTCGACCCCTTTAGGAGTTATTGCCCTTAATAGTCAATTTTTAACAATTTTTTGTAAATTTTTGTGAGCTTTTACAAAAATCTTCTTCTCTGAAACTACTGAGACAAATTTAACCATACTTGGCCATAATCATTATTAGGGTATCTAGTTTAAAAAATTTGTCCAATGACCCCGCCTTCCAACCATCATGGCCGACTTGGTTAAAAATAGAGCATAGGAGTAAAATGCAGTTTTTGGTTTATATCTCTGAAACTAAAGCATTTAGAGCAAATCTGACAGGTGGCAAAAATGTTCATCAGATTTAGATTTATCTGCCCTGAAATTTTCAGACGAATCAGACAACCCATTGTTGGGTTGCTGCCTCTGAGTTAGTAATTTTACAAAAATTTTGCAGTTTTTTGTTATTATCTTAGATATCATTATAATATCTAATATCTAATACTATTAATTATGATTTTAACCTTATTTTACATGATTTCCAAAGCATCAATAAATACAGGTGAGCGACACAAGCTCTTGAGAGCCTCTAGTTTTTGTCGAGCCTGCGACTTTTGTCGCAGAAAGCTCGACATAGGGATAGTGATCCGGCGGCGACGGCGTTAGCTAACTTCTTAAAAGCTTTATATTTTAGAAGGTAGAAGATCTGGATGCTTCATACTTTGTATATGGATGCCTCATGTTACGAAGTTTCTGTCAGTCACATGTCCAATGTCCTTGACCTCATTTTCATGGTTCAGTGAACATGGTTAAGTTTTGGTGGTCAAGTCCATATCTCAGATACTATAAGCAATAGGTCTAGTATATTTGGTGTATGGAAGGACTGTAAGATGTACATGTCCAACTGGCAGGTGTCATCTGACCTTGACCTCATTTTCATGGTTCAGTGGTTATAGTTGAGTTTTTGTGTTTTGGTCTGTTTTTCTTATACTGTATGCAATAGGTCTACTATATTTGGTGTATGGAATGATTGTAAGGTGTACATGTCCAACTGGCAGGTGTCATCTGACCTTGACCTCATTTTCATGGTTCAGTGGTTATAGTTAAGTTTTTGAGTTTTTTTTCTAATACTATATATGCAATAGTTCAACTATATTTGGTGTATGGAAATATTTTATGATCTATATGTCAGTCATGCAGGTTTTATTTGACCTTGACCTCATTTTCAAGGTTCATTGGTCAGTGTTAAGTTTTTGTGTTTTGGTCTGTTTTTCTTAAACTATAAGCAATAGGTCAACTATATTTGTTGTATGGAAGATTTGTTAGCTGTACATGCCTGCCTAGCATTGTTTATCTGACCTTGACCTCATTTTCATGGTTCATTGGTCAATGTTTAGTTTACTTGGTTAATGTTAAGTTTATGTGGCAGTTGTAATAAAGCTTTATATTTAGGACTATCAACATAATATCAATGATTAGTAAAGAAGGCGAGACATTTCAGCGTGTGCACTCTTGTTAAGAATAAGCCCCTGTGAACTTAGATTTTTGGCCTGAATATACTGCAACAGTTTGCCATCGCAACTCCTCTGAAACCACACAACAGAATTTCAAGAAACTGTGTAGATAATAAGGACATAATATGGAGATGTGCATACCCAAAAGGCATTTTTATCAGTTGACTTTTGTAGGAGGTATGAGTCTTTAAACTTAGGAATCTGGTGAGATTTTGTTTGCCCAGTGACAATGTGTGGCTGTTGGGTATGTGAGCATGCTCACAAAAGTTCTTTATTTTGTATTTGTAAAAAAAAAATAAGGTTTATCTAATCTTTCTCTAAAAGATGTAAGCAAGTAGAGGTGTAACAATATGCTGGAAATATTTGGTACACATATTGCAATATTTCAGACAAGATTTGAATCATACTCTGGGACATATTGTGAAGAATTGTTTTTTTCAGTATCTACTATTTAGGCGCTCACATCATTTGCATAACAGGTCACATTCTATCAAAGTGCTAGAAGAAAAGAGAACAAAAACAGTACTGATGAGGAAATTGATTTATTTTTTGTTTGAAAACCAATTTAACAAAAATCATAGCAGCGTCATTTAAACTTGAAAACCAATTTTGATATGGTGTGAATTGTTATGGTCCTACACTTACACTAAATGTTGGATGTGTACTGGTTGATATTTTAGTCAGGGAGAACATGATTCATTTATTTTTTGTTATTGGATTTGAACTAGCTTGAAGTAACTGCATTTACATGTACTCTTTGATCGGTTCTTTGTATTTTGTCATGTTTTTTGTGCTTTGTGCCAATCTAATGAGTCAAGCCATTTTCAACTGTTTTTCGTCAAGCCATTTTCAACTGTTTTTCGTCAAGCCTGTGACTTCTGTCGCAGAAAGCTCGACTTAGGGATAGTGATTCGGCAATGGCTGTGTTAACTAACTACTTAAAAGCTTAATATCACATCAGGTAGACGACCTGGATGCTTCATACTTTGTATATAGATGCCTTATGTTATGAAGTTTCTGTCTGTCATATGTCCATTGTCCTTGACCTCATTTTCATGGTTCAGTGATTACTTGAAAAAAAAAAGTTTTTTTGTAATGTTAGTTTCTCTCTTATTGTGAGTAATAGGATAACAATATTTGGTATGTGCGTACCTAGCAAAGTCCTCATGCCTGTCAGACAGATTTAACTTACCTGGACCTCATTTCATGGATCAGGGAACAAGGTTAAGTTTTCATGGTTAAGTCCATATCTCGGATACTATAAGCAATAGGTCTACTATATTTGGTGTATGGAATAATTATGAGGTGTATATGTCTGTCTGACAGGTATCATCTGACCTTAACCTCATTTTCATGGTTCATTGGTCAATATTAAGTTTTTCTTGTTAAGTTTGTTTCATCAATACTATATGCAATATGTCATTTTTTTTTATGCATGTAATTATTATACGGTGTACATGTCTGTCTGGTAGGGTTCATCTGACCTTGACCTCCTTTTAATGGTTCATTGGTCAATATAAAGTTTTGATGGTTTTGTCTGTTTCTTGTATGCTATAAACAATAGGTCAACTATATTTGGTGTATGGAATGATTGTAAGGTGTGCTCTTTAATAAATAAGGATGATTGTTATGTTCAAGACCACATAATTTATTATGTTGAATTTGAAATCTAATAGACAGTAATAACAGAACATTCAGTATAATAGATTAAATAACACATATCTTAGAGGGTGATAGAGCATATTGTTACCCCTTGAAAAGACATTGTCAACCTTGGCTTCGCCTCAGTTGACAATGTTTTCTCAGGGTAACAATCTGCTCTATCACCCTCTCAGCTATGTGTTATTTATATAATAGATATAAGAAGATGTGGTATGAGTGCCAATGAGACAACTCTCCATCCAAGTCACAATTAATAAAAGTAAACCATTATAGGTCAAAGTACAGTTTTCAACACGGAGCCTTGGCTCATACCGCACAGCAAGCTATAAAGGGCCCCAAAAATAACTAGTGTAAAACCATTCAAATGGGAAAACCAACGGTCTAATCTATATGAGAAACGAGAAACACTTATGAACCACATCAACAAACGACAACTACTGAACATCAGATTCCTGACTTAGAACAGGTGCAAACAATTGCAGCGGGTTTAAACGTTTTAATGGTACCAAACCTTCACCCTTATCGGAAACAATAGTGTAACATCACAACATAGAAAGACACACTATAAAATATCAATTGAAATGGCTGTCTTTTTTGTATTTTTTTATGAAGTCGGTAGCCTTTAATTCAGTGTTTTTTCATTGGTTTCTGTCTGTTGTATTTGTTTTTCTTTTTTTTTGGTCATAAATAAGGCTACAAATGTTCACTTTTGAATCATTTCACATTTGTGTACGTCAGGGCCTTTCATAGCTGACTTATATAGTATGGGTTTTGCTCATTGTTGGAGGTGGTATGCTGACCTATATTTGCTTAAATCAATTTCATTTGGAATTCAAAGGAGAAATACTGTGACTTCATGGTAAACATTTTGTTACCTATTCTGACATCGGACTAGGACTTCTTTTACACCGAGTTTTACTGTGCGTATTGCTGTGTGTTTGTTTATTCTACATTGGCTATAGGTATAGGGGGAGGGTTGATATCTCACAAAACATGTTTAACCCGCCACATTTTTGCGTCTGTCCCAAGTCAGGAGCCTCTGGCCTTTGTTAGTCTTGTATGTTTTTTAATTTTAGTTCATTTATATGTTTTGGAGTTTAGTGTGACGTCTATTTTCATTTAACTACTACACTTTTTTGTTTAGGGGCCAGCTGAAGCCCGCCTCCGGGTGCGGGATTTT